CTCATCCTTCTTTGCCATGTTGAGAAACCGTTATCTCCGTTGAATTTTGCTACCTCATACTTTGCTCTGGACATTTTTACTTTTCACCGATTATAGTACTACCGACAGTGAATAGTATTTCAGTGAATGAGCAGAACTTGTGCTCTGATACTAGTTGTTGGGAATAAACCTCCCACAAAAATAATATTCACGGTAATAAAAGCGGAACAATAACGTAGCACCGAGATACGGTAATTAACAAGAATAAAAGAGTAACAACGACACCAAGATTTTTACGTGGAAAACCCTTTTGAATAAGTGAAAAAACCACGGCCCTAAGGAGAGCAACTGATATCACTATAGCAAGGAATTTTATACTTTGTAGGTCCGAGTGAAATACTCAAAAGACCACTACAACACTCAAAAGAAATAACCCTCTTTTGATATTCTCACCTCACTACAATATCACTCACTCTCTATTTTTCTCACAGACTATTTTCTTATACCTTGTCTATGAAACTTCACTCTTTCTTTCTAACTCTCAGATATATTTTTCCTCTGAGATTGGTGTGTCAAAATGAGAGCCGAAGCTCTCCTTTTATAGGCAGAGCCTCGCCTACTACATTTGACATTTCCTTCTGCAAGCCTGCCGATTTTGACACAAACAACAAAAGAAACGTGGGCTGCTAATTAAGGAAGAAATTTTCTTCCTTGATTTATGGGATGGACCCCACACTCAACACTTCCTGTGTTGATGAAATGGAAAATATTAAATCTGGGTCATTACCAAAAAAAATGTAATATTTCAAATTGGACTTACAAAAGCAGACATCAGACATAAAGAAAATAAGGCTAGGCAAATTCAAAGCATAACCTGTCTTTTTCCTGAAAGCCTCAAATTATTATACAGGAAAGCCATTCCCTGTAGTATACACTGATGCTTGTTATGAAGTCTGAATCCAAGAGCTACATTTATTAAGGCAGTTCCTGGAAACAAAGGGAAAAGTCAAACTAGTAAATTGATATCACGAAAGATAAAGACTACGTCGACTCTGCCTTCTTTTATTTGGTTGCTAGAAGAAACCCATACCCGCACAGAGATTTATCAATTGATTATCTGTCATCAACTTATAGGCTTCTAAATATTCTCTAGCCGCTGCTTGATGCTGGCTGATCGTGGTAAACTGGTGTCCAGCAATAATAATTGGTGGTACGCAATCTTTGTGTTTGGTACGCATATTATGCAAGAACTTGTTATGTTTTGAATACCGAATATCCAGTCTGCACATGATCATCCATAATAAAATAAACAAATTACAATAAAAATCAGAGATAAGATCAAGCAGTCGTAAATTTGTAAAATAAAGGGTTCTCTTCTTGATTAGTTTAGAAAGGGTCATCTTTTATAACTTAAAAGGCTTCAAATCTTATTTTGGACAAGATTCACTGTACTCTCATATCTGTAGTAACTGCTTTACGCTGATGCTCTACTGAAAATACCTTTTCGGGTATCACAGTTTAGGTTATAAAAGAACTGAATGCAAGAATAGTCAAATCTTAAAACAATATAATTCAACCCAGTATGCTACAGTACGTACATTACTAACCTAACTACAGAATATAACATTCGAGAAAATATGGCATGACTGCAGAGATGTTTTAGTTTCAAAAAAGCGGTGGACAGGAAAACAATTGAAAGACTAGTTGACAACTAGGCCAACAACAAACCAACTGAAGTTACTAAGTAACAACTAATTGTTATAACTTCCAGTTTGAGAACTGCATTTATTTTCAATGCATAAGATAGTCCCTCCTTCCCAAACTGAAGAACCCACTTTAGCTAGCCTAAAAATTGATACCAGAAAGTGTGAATACATTCAGTTTTCATTTTTAAAGAGCATAGGAAATAGAACTGGAACACGTGAAAAGCTTGGAAACCTAAAGATGTCAAAGTGAATTCAAAAATAATATAGAATTTTATTATTATATGTCAATTTAACTTTTTGACAATTGTAAAGTTGAAATTGCTGTTGCAAGAAAAAAGTCAATCGACAGTTTAAAATAAAAATTAGGTCAAACAAAATAGAAAAGGAGCATAAATCATTTATCTTTTGATAGTCTTCATGTGATTCTCAAAATGCTACTGGACAAGCCGGGCTGCTGGAATGCAATACGGCAATGGGGTGGTGAAATAATACAAGATTAGCACAAAGATTAATAAAAGCAAGTGTGAATACATCATTATACTTTAATTTGTTAGAGTATAGGAAATAATAATTGGAAGATGTGAAAAGCTAGGAAGTTTAAAGATGTCAATTCAAAACAAATATAAAATATAATTCTACTGAAGGAAAGAAGTCAAATAAGGAGCATGAATCAAGCATCTATTGATAGTCTTAATGTGATACTTAAAATGGTACTGGACAGGGTGGTGGATACCAACATAGTCAATGGGGCCCATGTCACTCCATGAATTCTGTAGTGCATTTAGGATGCAGAAATCCTACGAACCAACCCATGCTGGTGCTTGCTGACTGTTACTTAGTTCCCCAAAATGCCCAAACGCAAAACAATCCCTAATTAATTAAGTAATGGTGCATGTAACTGTAATAATGTCTTACATCGGTAAATCTATTGTATGCATTATACGAATTATTTCCAACATAATTTACATAAAACACACGTATCTGCACACATTCTTCAATCTCAACACATGGGATTTCAGCAGAATCAGCGAGTGCAAACAAACATTTACTAACAGTTAATTTCCTCTATTATTCCAAATGGCGAGTTAATGCAAAAGCACCTGTTATAGAACAAGGGAAACAGAAACTGGTTCAACTAGCATGACACATTCGAACAATGCCAACTACAAAACTATACGAGTGTTCAGAATACTGACAAAAATTCTGCTGATACCTTGATATTACTTTGTAGTAGCAATTCCATGCTGCAAAGCTATAAGGATGCTGACTGACAATATAACGAGCACAATCGAACCCACGGGTGGGATCAGCAATGTTATATCCTACTTCTGCAAGACAGAAAAAAGAACGTTTTAGCAAGCACGCATCTTTATCTTTCACTTCACGACATTACTCAACCAAGTATATCTGAACCTGTCAATATAAGTCTCAATGTAGTTTAAACAGAACAGAAGCAAAGGGAGAGAGTGCAAACACTACAAGCTGAAACTTACGAGCTCCTAGAGCTTGCAGCTCCCCTTTCTTCTCAACAGACAACGTGCCGGATGCCAATTTAAGACAGAGATTAATGATCTCCAGTGCATCCCAATACCGTTGCAAGGATATTAACACCTTGCACAGCTACAAAAAGAAATCTAAAGTTAAAATTTCCAGTCCGACATAATTACAAGTACTTACAAAAGGGCCAAGAATCAGAAGGAAATTGAAAATTAATTTAGCATTAAAATTTCCCTTACGAAAAATATGTAGTCATATCCAACTAAAACATGTAAAAAGGGCATCTCAGACCTCTGATTAGTTTAAATGACCGTATCTAGTACTGATATAAAAATTGTAAGCATGTGTATTTACGAAAAGAATAAACATAATAAGTGCATTAGTGCCTGAAAACGGAACAAGGGGTGTAATCACATGAGACAAGCATGCTCATTAAAGAAGAAAAGAAAGAATAAGAAAATGAAAGGAAAGGAAGCGGTAAAAAATAAAAGACAGATGGATGGGAAGCAAGGAATACTAACATCTATGATGAGACACAGGTGCTCCTCGTCTTTTAGAAGATCTGGTAGTGGAGGCTCTCGGTATGCATGCCCCTCAAGAAATAGGATAACATACAAGAAAGAAGTAAGTTTTAGGTCAAAATCAAGGGTTTAAACAGTTTACAATATGTTACTTTACATAAGAAACGGGCTATAAGCTTCTCACAGGAGACTCGCTGTCCGAATCGTCACTTTTCCAGTCAGCTCCAGCAGCCAAAGCTGCAGCTTTTTTTGCTTCCTTTAACATTTCTTTCTTCTGAAGTAATTTTCTGGCTCTTGCAGCTTTTGACCTATCAAAAAGCCACAAAATTATTTATTTGCACAGACATTACCGGCCAGTAATAGGTGTTACAGATCATTATAAACATTACAGACATGATCAACAAGATTGCACTGGCAAAATCATGTGTAGAGTTACTCGAAGGTAAGTGGGGTATGTTTATGAAAGAATGAGCTTGGAAAAGACTAAGGAAAGATTCCCAAAAGGGAAACAAGAAATTGAAAATGGCCAATTTAACAAATTTCAAATTCCACAACTCGACTCCTGAAACAGCTTGGTTGGATACTTTTGCCCGTAGAATCTTCAGTTAAGGAGCGGAAAGAAAAAGCAGAACATGGTAAAATTAAAACTCACAGATCAGATGCCAAAGCTAAAGGCCTAAAGCCATGAAAGACGGTATCAGTTTGGTGATCATCCACAACCTTGATTCTTTGAAATAGAACACTTTTAGACAGCCTTTTCCGCACTTTAACCTAAAAAGTAGATCAACCAATTAAAAGGAATAAAGTTAGATACAAGGTAATCTCTGGGAGTTCAAATGATGCTATCACCTGGACATTTATTAAAGATGATTAAAAAGCTGAATTAAAAGTAAATGCATATATCTACCAATAAAAAGAAAAGGTATGCACATATTTTTCCAGAAGGGTTATGACTTGTGCTTGAGTCCATTTGGGTAACAATTATGGACATCTCTAAAAAGCAATTTGCTTATGCAACTAGGCTACCCATGTCCAAGATAAATTTGACCTTTGCATGCACCAATTTATTTACTTCAAGAAAAAATCCTTGATACACTACTGATGGTGATAGATGGAAAAAATGAATAAACTGGTCTTTGTATGCCATATAACAGACAGTTTACGAGTGTTAGTATACCTCCCCTCGATAAATATTGCATCTTCCATAATGCTAAGTTGTTTCTCAAATTTCGGAATAACCAAATCACAAGCCCACTAGTTTTTATATTTTGTACCAAACAGTAAACCAAGTTATGTCACTGGAACTGATGCAGTACTGCATTTAAGTATCCATGCCAAGTTAAATAGTTGAGGATTATCAATAAGGCACTATTAGGCAGATGGTTATGGAGGTTTGGGAGAGAGGAACATGATTTTTGGAGAGAGATGAAAACAGAAAAATGCAGGGTCTTGGAAGGGGCTTGGAGGATTAAAAGAGTAACTATGCCTAGTTGTGGGGTGTGAAGGAACAAGCTTTTGCGGACACAGGTGATGTGGGGACAACATTTTGAGATTACACTTCCTAACATTTACGGAATTTCATTTTTGTGCTGATGGAGCGAAAGAAATGCAAGGTGCTTTTAAGAGCAAAATTCCTTACAAAAAGTTAGCTGAACTGTATTTTGTCCTTCCATTTTTGGTGTAAAGAATTCTGTGCAGATGAAACTGAAACTGATGAATATACTATTACCTTTCTCCCAAAAAAAAACATTTATGGAATTTCATGTCAAAAGGAGATGATAGTCCAATGAATCCAGAGGATACAAGATGGAGAAATTTTTCTGGATTGAAGGTTTAGGAGGAACTTTCAAGACTGTGAAGTAGCAGAATTCCAAAATCTAGTAGATTTAGTTCACCAACAAGGAACATCACATGATAATTATGATGTACAGAGGTGGGGGGCGAGGAACAATGGAGTATTTTCGGCTAAGTCATATCATGAGAAGCTCCTGCTTAGTGAGTACCACATAGATCGATTTGGATTCCAAAGATACTGAGAAATATGTGTTTCTTCACTTGGCTAGCAACAAGAGGGGTGATATTGACAGCCGAGAATCTGAGTAAGAGGAAGGTTATGCACATTAGTAGGAGTTTTTTGTCTAATGGCTTGGGATATCTTAAGTTATGCCAGGCATGGTGCAAGAGCTAATGTTCAGTTGGAATTGTGATAGGCGGAAGAGAAGATGCAGCACATGGAATGTTGCTCTACTAGCTCTTATGTGGGTCATTTGGAGAGAAAGAAATAGGAGAGCTTTCGAAAGTGTTGAGTTGAACTTTGTACAATTGAGGAATAGCCGTATATCCCTTTATTCTTTTCGATGCACTCATGAAGTTCCTTTATATATAAAAGATTGGGTGTCATTGGTAAAGAACCATATCTTTTTCTAAGATTTCTACTCTTTTGGTATACTTCTTGTGTACAGGTGTTTTCGTGCCCATACATTCAATAAAATTACTACTTCAGCCAAAAGATATCCTTGACAATCAGTATTTTTTTTTATCAAGTAAAATAGGATTTCATTAATCAAGCATCCAAGGATGCAACTGATTGCAAAAACATATTGCACCTCCTTTCAAACATCACTGTCCTAACAACTTAAGGAGCTTACAAAATCAAAAGGATCTGAAGAACTGTTTTCATATAAGTAAAAGATCACTTATTCATAAAACATCAGTACCAGCTTCGTACGAGAAAGTACAAATTACAACAATAAGGATTCGTGAAATCCAGCAGTACATCAAATATCATTTACAAAAGAAGCCTTAAACCAAATTTTCAGATTCAGGATACATTTATATTTTTTTGAAGCAAGATAATATCATTGAAAGGGGGCATCAGGAAGATGCCAGAATAGAAAAGAGGATACATCTATATTTAACAAAAGTAACATTCTCCTCCCTACCCTCATAACACCAACAGTTTCTCTCTAGCCAAACTCTGCACAAAATACACAAAATGGAACTCCTAATGACAATCCTAGACAATTTGTCCGAATACCCCAATCCTGCAATTGAAAACAATGCTAGTTCTCCAATGATAACTACCTCCTCTGGGGCAATCTCACACTTCTTTCAAGTTAACCCTTGGAACAACATAAGCGCCTACCGCAGATATGTCATCTAAGATACCTCTATTGCAAGACACCAGGGTGATTGTCATTTGCAAACAAACAAAAAAAAAAGGTGATACTTCAACACTGCCATGCCCCTTACACTTATGTAAGTCCCTTCAAGTAGCCTCGTGATACAACTATGTCCATCATCTTGTTCAACGCCTCCTTTAAAATATAAAAGAACATCGAAAATATCAGATCCACTATCTCAAACCTCTAAGATCACAGGCTCCCATTAACTAGATCAAAGAACTTCGTCGTTGATATGCAAAGTTTGGTCCACTTTCTCCACTTTTCTTTGAAGCTCATATTTTTTTATGAATAAGGGTCGATGCTTATGGCTATTTGAAAGAAGCACTAAGATAGTGAAGCAAAACATAGTAAAAATTCATGTAAGCCCCTTGCTATGTTAATAATTTCATCCAGTACAAAGGTCAGGTTACGCCAATAAGCTAGTAAAAGAATTGACCTATATTTGTGGCTATGCACATTCCCTTTTTCGCCTTCAAAAATTCTGGAGTTTCTCCCAATCCAGACTTTCCACTATACAGCCTGTGGAATAGTGTTCCAAATGTTACTTGCATTTTTTTAAAAAGGATATGTTACTTGCATTTTTTCTGAAACCTCTTCTCCTCCAACATTTTAGAAACTCTATCGTTGAGTTAGGCATTGACCAACTAATTCCCAGGATATTTAGGAAAAGACTCCAGATTTGAGTGGTGACTTTGCAGTGGCCAAATAGACGATTAAAATCCTCTGGTTGTTCCTCGCATAAAGAGAATCTACTGCATAAATGGAGACCTTTTCTATAGAGTTTAACTGGATGAGGCAAGCATCACTGGCTACAAGCCATGTAAAAACACTTCAGTATGGATGGAGCCCTGTTGTTTTGGGTCTCATCTTCATCATCACAAAGTACAGGAATCCATGGCCAAGGACTATTATGGTTGACTGATGTAGTTAACTCTCTTTTCCTTTACGCCTGGGGTTGTTCAACATTCCGTCGACTCCAATTTTCAGATTTGAATAACATTCACACACCCAACAAAGACAGATAAAGTAAATTCCTTTTTACTGTGCCATGATTGGCATGGATATCCTACTTTGCTAATTGAACCTGAGCCCTTAGGTCTACTTGAAGTTGCTTGTGTCCGGTATTCCAGAAAGCTAATATCAGATTCTTTTCACCATCACAACAATACGGTAGTTAGGTTTACCTCTAAAGCTTGTAGAACAATTAAAACACAACAAAGGTATATTTTCATTATCAATGACTGAATTGAGCATCGGAAGAAGAATTAGACCAAAATTAGGATTAAGTTCTGGGGAGACAAAGGCATGTGATGAGCTGGAAAACAAGACACCTGCATTGTCATTTGTCGGTGCATTATTCTTCAGCTACATTTCAGCTTTTCTTCTAAAAGTTTAATGGCTTACATTCTAGCAGTATACCAGTTACGCCCAGCCAGGAAGTTGCAATTGCAGCTTCACAAGCCAGTTGCCTAGAAGAGGAAGCGGGTAAGTACAGTGACAACGAGTGACTTCTGTGCAAGTTTCAACTCTAGTAAAGAATTTTATGTTATAAGTAGATGTTTGTGAGTTGCATAAAGAAGCTTTCACGTCATCCTTTTCCCCTTCTCTCTCTCTCTCCCTCTCTTATTGATAGAAATATTAATTTTTTTGAAACCATCCCTAAAACTAGCACATTCTTGGGTCAAATAGAAAGTGTACACTTACCTTTTGTTGTACAGACTCAAGAAACAATGTCTCACGAATCAAAGGAAAAATAACATCCACACAGGCCTCTAGTGACCCTTTAGCTCTATAAATTTGACAAAGCTTCAGCTTTATCTTGCTATTAAGCCACCATGATTTTGGTTCATCAGAACTTGAGTCAACTGAAGATTCTGGAAATGAACCACAGAGATCTTAAAAGAAGATTACAACCATCCAATTAATAGAATGCTAAGTATATGATTTATACCTGAAGCTTTTGGAGGGGAAAGCACAAAAACTGCTTCATCATCTTTGCCTTCTTCAAGGAGGATCGAGGACAAAGTTAATCGAGCATCAACACTATCCTCAAGTTCATTTACAGCTGAAAAGAAAAAACAATCAGCTAAAGACACTTCATAGATTTGAAGCATCAACAGACGACGCAAGTCACTGCCACAAATAATCCCATTTAGCAGGAGGTACACAAATGAGAAGGTAGGTTACGTCACACCAGAGCCATAAAATACACACACACTATCATATATATATATACATATCATGTGCTATGTGGATACCTTTATGGAAGTACTCAATTGCTTGTACTCTTTCCCTCAAAAACACATAACACTCGGCAATTTTTAAGTGTAAATAGCCCTGAAAAGGATAGAAATAAATTAACCACCAAATGATAATAAAAAAATCAAAAGATGGATATGCATGCATTAATACTTAATAGAAAACAGAGCTTGCTTTAGGTTTATTTCCACAGCAAACAGGCATGGGAAAATAATGCAACCTATTAAAGAGAACATTTCAATTATGAAATTCCTGTAAATTTACTAGTGAATATTTTCAAGAAGAGTTTTTCTCAATAAAAAGATCAATTGAGCATGGTCGGTCTGCTTGATAATAAAGAAAGAGAGCATACCTAGACACGTCCTTTCAAATAAAAGGATAAAATATAGCAATTTACATAGAAGCAGTACAAAAGAGGAGTTTCATTTCTTTACTTTATTCTTGACGTCATCTCCTTCAAGCATCATATAGTACTTCAAAGCAGATTCATAGTGTTCAAGGGTCATAAGTGAGTCCGCAACCTCAGTGACTATGTCAGGATGTTGAGATGCATTTTCTTGTTGTAGAGCACTGAAAATAATCTGCACATTGCTTGGCAAAGTAAGAATAGCATATAGCTTCAGTTCAAACTCATACAAAATCAGTATACAAAGTTTTTAGAAATAACAGAATAGGATATGTAGAAGAGGTAAGATTGGATATCACTTCAGGGTTAAATTAAGTTTTGGGCTTTAAAGACTAAAGAAGTCGAGAACCTGTGACATTACGGGGTTCCAACTATGGTACGAGGTCATAGTTAAGAAATATTTAACCAATCTTGAGGTGTATAAACACTTCTGGACGCCTCATTTTATCAGAGGCCTCCTGTTCCTCAATCTTCACCTCGCAAAACTACCCTAGTACTTAGGCCACTTTAAAGTCACTTTAGCTCATTCGCTTGTAGCAAAGTCCTTGGGGTTCCTATCCTGCATGTTCTCCCCCAAGATAAGCTTTAAATTTACCTAGTATCCCATCTAGTGCCATTAAGTAGCTTGCTAACTCTTGAACAGCAACACCCACGTGTAGCCCATAGACAGTAGTTAACAATAATAGGAAAATAGAAAAAGCCTGGTAACCCAGTCCAGTTGCAATGACTCCAAGAGCATGTAGAAAACAGAAAAATCAATTCATACTCCACTGTTATATTCATCAGCACATTGTGTTTCACTTATTGTCGGAGGAACCACTGCACTTGATCAGCCTTTACATTGCATTACATGCCAGTTACTATGAGTGATGGCACTACTAGAAACAACAAGAAACTTTAAGACCGAGCTCCAACAAACCTCTGCCTCCTCCATATGACCAAGATGTAAATGACATATTCCAGCTTTGATACTTAAATTAAGAGGCATCCATTTCCCAGTAAAATATCTCTGCTTTGCACACTCAATTAGATCAAGAGCTTTTAAATGTGCATTGTTTTCCATGTGCATCACAGCTAACAGATGTATCACACTTAAATCAGCTTCATATGGATGATTTTTCAGGTAGTCTTCCAGGATGCCAACAGAGCGCTCAGCTTCGCCACATTTTCGGTACAACTGGAGAAGTAAACAGCAAGTTAATTCCATGCTGAACAGTGGAATAAGAGAGTAAGTACCATTTGATACATCATTAGTTACACAGACAAAAAAGCAAAAAGCCTGTCGTCAGCAGACTAAAGCAACAGTCCTTTACATAAAGATACTCTTGGCATGTTCTCATCAATTTGCCAGATCTAAGTTCACTCTTGACAGAGTCATAGGAGTGTCGGTGCATTTCTCTTTTTTTCCCCTGGTCTCAGTGCAATCCCTTGCGCACGATGTTAGTTACTTTTCCAAAAGTAAAAATGTGTGGATATACTAAGGAACTTTTCAACTACAGGTAAACCTGGTAGAAACAATAAAGAGAGGGTATTTAATAGAAAAGATTCAGGTCCAAATAATTACATCAGATAGAATGTGCAAGTTACACAAACAGCGAAATAACAAGACGTCATCTGTGATGATTTGTATTGGACTGTAGAACAATGTTATACTATAAGTGAAGGCGCTAAAGGACAACGAGGTAAACATAAAATCACATGAAGGTTTAAATAATTACATCAGATAGAGTGTGCAAGTTACACAAATAGCGAAATAACAAGGCGTCGTCTGTGATGATTTGTATTGGACTGTAGAACAATGTTATACTAATAAGTGAAGGCGCTAAAGGACAACGAGGTAAACATAAAATCACATGAAGGTTTAAGTTGTCTCAAAAATCTACAACCTCTTGGGCTTAATGAGGATAAGAACATAACACAGTGGGAGCAAAGGTATATAGGCGATACTAATTAGTTGGAATTAATGCTCACACTTACAGTAGGTCTAATGTTTTAGGGTACACCAAAGGGGAAACAATTGGGGTTTGGGCTTGAGAAATAACTTTCAAGATTCGGAGGTGACAATTTTCAAAGAATCCTAGAGCTACTATGCGTACAGATTGTTAATCCGAAAGAGAAAGATGTCTGACAGCGGAGCGAAAGAGAGGAGAATTTTCAGGTGTACTCTTTTATACTGTAGACGCCTACGGAGAGAAGAGATGGCTTTCCAATCTCACCATATGGGTTTCTACAGCTCTGAAGAAGGCATGTTATTTTCACGTGGTTGGCAGCCAGAGGTTCAATTGTCAGGGTAGATAACTTCAGGAAGAAAAAGATAACACGCATCACTTGGTGCTGCATGTGCAAAGTTTTGGAAAAGGGTATAAATCACCTGTGCTATATTGTCGTCAGCGAGCCAATTATGGTGGACAGAATCGAACCCTTCGGCTCTTCAATGGGTGATGAAAAGGACAGCTAACATGTGAGGTCTAGACGGGCCTTCAGATGGACGAAAAGGCTGGAGCGAGCACAAAAAGTAGCTCATGTGGCTATGTTGTGGGCTTTGCGGACATTAAAAAGGCAGAGGGCATCTAAGGGGGTAGAGAATATTTTTGTACAGATTAGGATTAATTTCTTGTTTTTTTTTTAAAGATAACAAATGTTATAAACTTCAGCACAAAGGAAGTGCTGCCAAATACACAAAAACACAAGACGGATCCAGTACATTCTTGATTTTTTTAGGAGAATCTTTTGTTTTTTATATAAATTTTTAGGGCACAGTTTCGTTTTAGTACAGATGATTGGGTGCATTATTGTAAAGAACCATGTTCTGGTGTAGGTTGCCCACTTTTTGCATGCCACTTGTATCATACTTAATAAATCTTTAAGTTACCACAAAAAATTAGGATGCATCTCCTAAAAGCTTCTGACTCTAGTTGGAGACGTGTATGTCAACCTTGGGATGAGTGAGATTTAGAAAACCTCTTGTATTAGGGAACTTCTAATTTACCTGAAAAGACAGCTTATTTACCAATATTGGAGTGTAATAATACCGAATACAGTGTAGAGGATTCATATAGTTTACCCAAACTAATTTGGAATTAAGACATAGTTCATTGATTGATTTAACTTAGCTACCAGACATACTTTCCCTTGGTGTGTCTTCTAAGAACCAGAGAAATGATCTTTGTGACAGTAACTTTTCTCTCTTTTACCTTGCATTCAAAAGTTTGATTAAAATTGTCATATCCTGTTATCATTATTACTATCATCATCATCATTATTATCATTTTTGGTGGTGGTATTCCTTGAGCCGAGGTTCTATTAGAACAACCTCTCTATCTTTACAAGATAGGGGGTAAGGTCTGCGTACACGCTACCCTCCCCGGACCCCATTTATGGGATTAAACTGGGGTTGTTGGTGGTGGTGGTGGTGGTGGTGGTAGTGGTGGTGTTCTTATATTGTCTAGTAATACTAAATATTTTCCATGTCAGCCGTTGCAGTGTTCTGCTTTTTTTAGAAATGTGGTGTCACATGTTTGTGTTGTCTAACTCAACATTCATGGTAAACTACAGTTTTCAGGAATAAATAACAGTACTTACATCAGCATATGTACCCTAACGAAATTTTACTTCATGTTTATCTTCTTTTCTCCCTAAATAAAAGTGAATCATTCATCATTTTTAACGTTACATACGACTAGGGCTCACCTCAATGAAAGTAAAGCATGCTGTCTTCAGTAATATAAAAGAGAAAGGATATCCCATGCAGTAATATTAAGGACGACTAATTGAATGGATCAACAATAGCAGAAGAAGAGGCATTTAGCATGTAACCATTTGGTGCTTTAGCCAAGAAAATAACTATATGCAAATAAATGAGACAGCAAAGTTTGACAGATACTGAAGGAAGGATAGATACAGAAACCTGAGCAGCTGTCCGAAGCACTTCAACATCATTAGGGCATCGACGAGCAATTTGCTCGTATGACTCTGCAGCTTTCTGATAATCTCCAAGCTCAATGTATATTGAAGCCCGGTGATACCTAAGACTAATGTCATCAGGATCTGCTGTTATTGCTTTGGAAAGGCAATACCTGGCCTGTCCCCTATCTCCCTGCTCTCTGTACAGTTACAAAAAAAAATTAACTGTAAAGCTCAAGAAGCACCAAATGTTGCAAAATAAAGAGGAATCAGAAAGCAAGCTTATACAACAAAACAAAACATAATATTGGCAATGGAATCACGGTGAACAATACGTATCCATTATTTCATCATGGGTTTAAAAGGGAACACTCAAATGTATGTCACCACATATGTGAACGCATTCCTAAATTAGATGACCAAAAGATGCGACATAAAAAAGAAACTTTGAAGTAGGTTGTCACTCAAAATGTAGAATAATTGAAATTTGTGCATCAACATCACGACGTGCACAACTTGATGCTTTCTTAATTATTTTTTTTTTTAAATGATGGAGGTATCCGGGCCATCTTACACGCACCTTGACTAGTTACACCGGGTACCTGCTACCTCCTACCAGCACAGGTACCAAGTAAACCTGTCCGTCAAGGCTTNACCCCAACTTCATTGACCACTAGGACACACCCTTGGGTGCAAAAGAAAATGAAGCGCAAACCTGATGCTTTCTTAATTTTTAATGCAGAATGATAGCAAATGCACCCCAACCATATATCAATTTCAGCTCCTTCAGGAACAAACTATCAATAAACGTCACGGAAGGAGTAAATATAATTGCATCCTTTTGGTTCATCTCTCTCAATGTACAGAAAGCAAAAGTGATACAGAGAACACTTACATTGGTCCGTCCATCTCAGTGTATCTGTTTCCTTTACTATTTCAGATAGTTATAGAAAACAGTAAATGATAATGCAATTTTGGTGATGGTTTTCAAAGGATTCCTTTCCAAAAGGGATCAGCATTTCGGGTTATTATTGAATGGGAAAGGGGACAAAATTTTATCACGAGGCAATAACTTTTTCGCCCCAACCATTAAATCTCTAATTATATGCAGACAAGAATCCACTCCGTGTAGGAATTATAATACAGCATTAAATGAAATGGGACAAGGAATAAGGGTAAGACATATTTTTACACCATATATAACTAAACTGCTTACCTGCAATTCTTTTGATACATGTATTATATGATACGAATGCCAAAGGAGAAAAAGAAAAGGAAGAGATGAAACAAGGAATTCTCACATGGACCAATCGACCAGGAGCTTCCAAAGAGACGCATCCTTCGGTGCAAGATGTGCTGCAAGCATGTAGAAGTCCATAGCTCTCTTCTTATCGCCGATAGCATTGTAAATTAGGCCAAGTGTATGGTATGGATCAGGAAGGTTTGGTGAAAGACGAATGACTTCATTCAACACACGTATGGCCTGCAACAGAGAACATTAACAATGAGAACAGTAAGAAATGGAGGGACTACTAGCTGAAACCTGAAATAGAGCCCTTCCTGAAGTAAAGCCATAGAATGGGGGAAACAGGTGTGCACATATTTTACAGATAACTGACAGAAATATCCATAAAAACAAATAGAATCAAATGTTCAGAAAAAAACAAAAAAAGTGGGTACAGTTTCAGAGCAGGACCATAATCGACAACAACAAAGAGAAAATAGCAACTTGATGTGTCAATTCATATCTCTTATACTGTGTAGAGGAAAGGCAATCTTTCTGTTTTTCATGCCATATAGATATCATGTCTACATGAAAAGCAGAGAACTATACAGATCAAGAAAAATCAGGCTACAGAACAAGGATGCATGACTCTAGCTGCATACCTCCTCATAACGGCCATGTGCATAATGAAGAGTGGCATCACCAAGTTTTCTTTTCAATTCTGAACTGACTTTATTCTTTGTTCCCTTTCGCCGACCTCTCTTCTTGAGCTACATAAGGTACAGCATAACATAGTGTGCAGATGGTTACTAACGGCTGCACAATATTTACAGTATGCAAAAACGAAAACAACTTGCAACCCTGAATAAAGAAAGGAAAAGATAACAGGATGCAAAAAGACTACCTAATAAACTAACTGAAAAGGCTACAACTTCAGAAGATATTGTTCTGAACAGTCAAAATATAGCCAAATGTCATTCAAAATATACTGAGAACTGATTAAGAAGCTCCACAACATCCAATGATCTTGTAAAGATTCTTTTGATTCTTCCAGAATCAGGTAGTTGATCTCTTAAACCATTCATAACATCCATGAATTGCTTATAAGTATTATGAAAATGTTTTGGAGGCCCAAGGTTCATTGGTAAGAACTAGAACCACTAACAGTTGAGATCATGGAGCTTTTGCTTAGTTAAGCTTATAGCTGGCAATGTGTCTTGGAGTGACATAACCTTAGCAGTTCAACTGGAGATCAACAAGCTTATCCTCAAAGCTAGCTTTGGTAAGCAAGATATTGTTGCATATCCTCAACACTCACAGTATTCTTTAATCTTTCTCCAAATGATTAATGATACATGTAGTGCAATGTGCAATTTCATTATCCTTTTTACAACTATATTAAGAAGGAAAAAGAAAGAACTGATTTTGATGAGATAAAATTAGAGATCTTAAGCTTGAAAGTAAGGACTTTGACTTTAAAACCTCGTATAAGGATCTGAAACCAAAAGCTGGTAACAGTAAAATAAAGTCCTACTGTGTGTTCGTGATTCCAATTTTTCAACTAATGACTACTTATAAGGTGCCTTATGTCTTTCTTTGGGGAAATGAGTTAAACTATTGAAGTTAAGTCAAATACTGAATATCTACATTTTACTTATTCTTTAGTTTTCTAAACTTTAATAAGCTGAAGATGTTTAAGGTTAAGCATAGCAGTTCTCTGATGGTCCAGTTAAGAATTCTTAGAAAGAAATAATAGCCAAGAACCAAAAAAAAATTTGCCAAGGTTCGGCTTGGGCCAATGTTTTGCCTACATCTAGTATTTTGTAGATGGAATTCAAAGTTTGTCCAGACTGCTAATGACAACAGATTA